GACATCTGTCATTTAAAATGATATGCTAAGCAAAATATACACAAAACCGAGTTGAACGTCCTTCAAGGATCGTTATTCACATGCTGCGCACAGACCTCGCAAATAAAATGCGTGACTCAGAAAGCTCTGGTTCATGTGTGCAATGCGTGCATAACAGTCCTGAGTGCAGGCTATACCGGTGGTCAATAAGAATAAAGGACAGATATGTTGTTCTGAAAGGACGTCGGGAACAGGATATTGTTAGATGGCCCGCTCCCATTCAAATTACACCAGAGTTACCGACCGCTACCGCGTTTTATTCGGGAATTTAATCCCGCGTCGCAAGAAATCTGGTCGGGAGAGCCGCAGAAATGCAGACCTCTAGCAGAGTCCTTAATCGTTTTCAAGAAACGGCTGAAAACACATCTCTTTAATCTTCATCTGACCCTCTATCTCTAGCACTCTCTATTATAATGGTAATTCTAATTTTATCTGCTTGCTTTTTTATTATTAAAAAACTTAACCCTCTAACATTTGCACTCTATTCTATTTCTATTCTAACTACTTGTTTTATTTTTATTTAAAAATGACCCTATTACACTAGCATTCCCTATTATTGTTCTATTTTTTATACTGGTTTTCTTTTTATTCTGTCCTCTTTTTGAAAAACTAAAATATGGTCACCCTATCTATACACAGAGGCCCTTATAATATCTGGGCAATTAAGCCATACTTTATGAATGTCATTGCATCAAATAACAGCAACAAATTTAGTTGCATTTATATTAAAGAATCAGATCTTTCATATATTTCAAGCAAACAAAAATGACATTTTGGACACTTTCTTGTTGTCAAACTTAGTGGAACATGTACATAGTTGATTTGATGAACTAGACCTGCGGTTGCTCTGTTAGGAGACTTGTTTGTGTAACAGGTGTTATATTCATTTATTAATTTCACACAAAATCTTTGCTGAAATTGTGGAGAAAGGCCACGGATTGACTTTTTTTTTCATAAATTTTCCTTTTTATTCATTCAGAATAAAAAGTGGTCTGAGGAATCTCTGTTGTCCGGTCTCATTAAATTATCAGCACAACGCAGAGTGAAGGTCCAGACCGGTCACATTTGCTAGGGTCAATGACTTCATAAATTCCTCTAAAAATGACCTTTTTAATGGATAAGATGTAATTGCAAAAATGGTCAGAAAAACAAAGTTTGTTCTGAGAAAAGGTCCAGTATCTTTTGTTAACAGTCAACACTTTGTTATCCAGATCAGGGCTCTTCAAAGGGGGTTTGCCAATTTGATCACAAACTCATATATGTTTTAAAGGTGTAAAACAAAATATTAATATTACGCTATCATCAGCCAAATTAATTAATTAATTCATTCATTCATTCATAAATGTATATGTAATTATATGGCAAATATTAAATTAATTATTTCTGTACATTAATAATTATTTTAACGCCTTTGCAACATTAGCATTATAAATTATGTTAATATTTTAACGGGCTAAGCTCTCAAGTTCATCTCGAGTCCGAGTCCAAGACCACATAGTCTTGGATCTGTCATAGATCCAAAAGCATTTAGACTTAACTAACTCAACCTACTCAGATCTCGGCCAGGACTCTTCAAAATATCTTCTTTTATGTGGAAGAAAGAAAGTACACTTTAAAAAATGCTGGGTTGTTTTAACCCAACTTTGGGTCAAATATGGACTAACCCAACTTTTGGGTTAAAAATGTAATTGAAAAATTTAACCCAACAGTTGGCTTAGTCCATATTTGACCCAAAGTTGGGTTAAAACAACCCAGCATTTTTTAGAGTGTAATACAGGTTTGGAGAATTATGAGGGTGAGTAAAGTATGACAGAATTTTAATTTAGTCTTTTTTGTCCATTTAGGAGTCCCTGCTCTAAATCAATAAAATTCATATTTAGAAATTCATATAATTTATATGTAAGTCTCTACATTTTTTTTTGGTCAGAGGTTGGGGGTATCTCACTACAAAACTGCTCTGAATTTTTTCAGATGCTATATATACACTGTGCAGCTCAATTTCTTCCCTACGCTCTGTCTCTTTCCCTCTCCACAGGTGGTAGATTGAGGGCTTGAAGGATGGGTATGAAGCTCTTCACTGTGATTATAGCTCATGAGGCAGACTGATCATATCAATCAATCTTTCTTCTTCACTGACACTGATGCTGATGAGCCTCCCTGTCTTTACAAAGAATAAAATGACCCTACCAACAGAGTATAAGACCACCTCATCCAAATATGACTTTTAACCTCACACTTCTCCAGACAAAAAAAAATCATTCATCATGTTGCAGCACTTCATGCAACAAACTGTACTTCACACTATTCCTTTAAGGGAGACATCTGGATAACCCAAAGATGAGGAAACAGTTGAATCACTATGCTTTACCAAAACACAAACCAATGAAGCTGAAGCACAATCCAGCCAATGAAAGTGAGAAGTGAATCATCAGTCAGAGCACAGGAAATGGGCACACACAGAGAAATGGATAAAAACGATGTGAGAATAGGTCCTGAGAGTGGAAAGAGCCGTTCTGTGGAGTCTTGGGCAGATTCTAATAATGAAGTTTGGCCATATCTGCGGATACAGCAGGCTTTTAGATAAAGCTGTGTGTCTCTATTAGTGTGAAAGTGAGCTTAGGCCAGGAGACATCCCGCATTTGATGTGCTGAGACAATGCCTCCAGGATGAAATTAAATTTGCAGTTATCATCATTATCATGATGAACGATGCGAGTCTGGCCAGGATGGCAATAGTTATGAATACCTTGTGCCAATGGTTTGTTTTTTATAAACAGGGAAAGCATGCTAGCAGGTCTATTGCTCAGAACATCAGGAGACAGATGTTGGAATGAAAGTCTGAGATGCTGTCATTTAACCAGTCAAGACTGGTTGAGATTACAGTGTACCTACAAATTGGACCAATATTAACCAAGTAGATAAGGATATATATGTTAAACATTCAAAGGTTTTGGGTCAGTAAGTTTTATTTTTCTTCATTTTTTCCTTTTTAATATTTGTGAAAGAAGTCTCATATGCTCACCGGTGTCTTACTATATCTGTTGTAGGGATGCCACAATTCATAGCGTTCTGTACGACATCCACGGTTCAATACGCGCTTGTGAATTGCATTATTTCTGGGTTTGCATTTAAATAATTTCCGTGAGATGAGAAAATGCCATTTGAAAAATGTGAATGAGCTGAGGAAACATGCATTTGAAAAAGCAACACATGCCAAACATCTTCCCTTGTAATGACTTGCAATGATAAGCGTTTCTAAACCTGTTGTCCAACAAAAGAGAACATTATAACATGTTTTTACTCCACAACATCAGTCGAGTGTTGAAATAACTTCCTTTTGTGATCTGATGTGGCTTCTTATCACAGAATGAGGCAGAAAATATATACTATACTGTAATAAAGGCTATATCAATTAGCAATGGATTATGAATATACCTAAAGGTGCAATAGGTGATTGTCTTCAGAAAAGTTTTTTGATAGCAATCATTAAGTTAAGTGGTGTAAATGTATTTATCTGTTAATATATTCTGTGGAAGGCGTAGGACCAAGAAATGTTCGTCCAATCAAAACGCTCGTTCCGAGCGCTTTAATTGGCTTTCCTACCTGCCTGTCAACGTATGTATTAGTATACCTCTGCGCACACGGTTCGCGCAGACAGAATACGTCATCAGCGTGTTTACGCACACTGTGCAGACAGAGCAGCAGACAGAGTGAGAATGGCAGACGAACATCAACAACCCGATCTTCCTTCCTGGTATTGTAGTACCTTTCAAGTTTTCTCACCGGTGAATGACACATGATGTAGCCCAGCGGTTCCCAATCCCAGTCCTCGTGCCCAGCCCCCCTACGCTATGGGCATGAACTGTGTTCCGATCGATATGATCATTACACAGTGTTCATTGCTCCCTCCTCCCTGAGCAGGGGAAATCTGTTGAAGTTTACTTCACTTCGGAACATGGGCTGGAATTGGGAACCGCTGATGTAGCCTATTGTAGTAATGTTGTCTCTGGTATTCTGGTCTGTAAGCGTATATGCGTTCAGGGGGCGTGGCTTTGGACGGTGGCTTTTTTATTGTCTTAGTGTTTCATCATTCAAAACCTTTTTATCTTCTTAGCGATAGCTGGATGCCTTTGTCCATATTAAGGATTTCCTGGAGCATCATGAGCTCTATTACTTCTGTGAGGCATATGTGGAGTTTCTGCGCGAGGGCACCCCCTGGCCATGAGTATGAATTAAACAGACATTACATGCATTTATAGCGCTCAATAATGGCCAATGCATCCTATTTTGTGTAAACATAGGAAAAATAATACTTATCTCAAAAGAAATTTGAAGTAGACATATGATAATCCATGTTTTCTCCAGTGTGCAGAAGTGTACAGGAGTTTGTTGTTGTTGTTAATTTGTTTAAAAAATTGCATTTAAATTGCAAATCGGAAAAAAAAAGTCACAGCTGAGTGACGCCATCAAAATCGAACTGAACAGAAAACCGTGGTTAAAAAAAAAGGTATACATTGAACCGTGGGCTAACTGTATTGTTGCATCCATAATCTGTTGATAGATTTATGGTCTCCTTGCTGATTAAAAATATGATTTTCTTATTTCTTATTTATTTTTATTATCATTTTGTATGTATTTTTTAATAAATACTTTTTCATGAGCTGTTGGAAGACAGCCTGCAGTTCCAGTTGTCCTCCTATGAAGTCTTCCCTATACTATACAGATTATAACTATACCTTTATAATTAATATATCTGCTTTTTTTTTCTTTATTAATGTATCAGTTTTAATGCATCAAATTACATGCAGATATCCATTTAGTCCATTCCTATATTCTTCTGTAATGTGAGCCTTGTCTGTGAGTATATCATCACAACATAACTGTAAACTTAAAAAAGCCTAGAATAACAATGATCCACTCTTCAGTTCAAGTCAGTTCAGTGTTAAAAAAAATTCTACTCACCAGCCTGCTCTGTGCTGACGGTGATATTGGCAAGCTGTCTCTCAGATCTGCTTAAACCCGACACTCCATTAAGAGCCTCGATTTGGAATGTGTAGTTGGCATGCGCCACAAAGTCCTGGACCACCACAGAGGTGCTTGTGAGGCCTGTGGATCTGGGTATGAAGCGCACATTGCTGTTGCATGGCTCACAGGCCTGGCCATCAGCTCCACATCGGAAACAGAAGACATTATAGGTTACATCCTTCCGACCACCTGTATCGCTGGGTGGAGTCCACTCCAGAAAGAGGGCGGTCTCATTGATGTTAAAAACCAAGTTTCGAGGAGAGGAGGGCAGTCCTGAAAGGAGAGACACAACTGACTCATTAGCAACCAGAATGATCATGCTGACAGAAGTTCATCTGTGAGAGAAAAATATGCCTATTTGTGCAGAATATTATGCAGATGAACAATTGTATATCTTTTTTTCCCGCTCTCTCAAAAACGGTAAATATGCATTAACTAATGAATCCTGCTAATTCCTTAAAAATCATACTAGAGTGTTTGCCATCTCTCTTTCATTCCCTCCCTCTGGTTTTGCTGATATACAAATGTCTTTGCTCTGGTACCCTGGTTCTGCTTCCTATAGAATGCTGGCTCAGAGCCAGATACAGGGAAGTCTGCATTTATCTGCTGTTTCCCAGGCCCAGCTAATGATGATAATGAGAATATGTCCTAGACATGATTATCATAGTTAATGATAATTGCACCCACTCGTGAATAACAAGGAAGTAATTATTCCTCCTCTCCTGTTTTTAATGCAGATTGCTGCTGGTGTTGAAACAATTGAGTTTGGTGAATAATTTGGGTAAGTGCAATGGGGGGCAGAAGGAGGGAAAGGGAAGAGGGTGATGAAGCACTGAAGTGACTAAAATAACTGGAATTATGATCGATATAATCAGAAACAATAAGAGTAAGAAAGAACAGAAAAGATCATGAGAATGATGAGAGAGAAAATGTATGCTCATTATCACTATTTTTGGAATATTTAGTCTTTTTGTTCATCTGTAGTTTATCTTTCTTAATTACTTGCTCAATTAATAATACATCTTTAATTAATTCATTTTAATTTAAATCTCTTGATTACTTTATTTCTCTGCACTGTTACTGAATTTTATCTTTTTAATCTTATTTTATACATTTAATTTTTCCCTGGGTAACTGAAACTGGTGCCATGAAAACTTTCACGCCTCCTTTATCACACCACTTGTTCACTCTCACTTCAAACAAACGCAGCTGGTGTCCTCTTGCGTCTCAGTTATAGATGGTATTGAAAATGACCTTGGAGGACTCCTATATAAATATCATTGTAATATAGTTTTAGTGTTCGTCTTGTTGCTAGGATGATCAGATCACACACTGATATTACAGGATAGATTCTGGCTTGTGTGAAATTGCTTAATGGAATAGTTCATGAGTTTGTTTCTTCATGGGAACATTTGGAGAAATTTAGAATTGCATCACTTGCACACCAATTGATCCTCTGCAGTGAATGGATGCCGTCAGAATGAGAGTCCAAACAGCTGATAAAAACTTTACAATAATCCACAAGTAATCCACATGACTCTAGTCCATCAATTAATGTCTTGTGAAACGAAAAGCTGTGTGTTTGTAAGAAACAAATCCATCATTAATATGTTTTTAACTTCAAACCATCGTTTCTGGCTAAAATACGAGTCCACGATCTATAATAATGTTTCCTCCAGGGAAAAAAAAAAAATCTCCTGTTGTCCTCTCACATCAAGCTCCACCAACATATCTGTTTAGAACTGTATTTGACTGTTTTAACTTGTAAATGTTTTTTATCAGCTGTTTGAACTCATTCTGACGGCACCCATTCACTGCAGAGGATCCATTGGTGATGTAATGCTAAATTCCAAATCTGTTCTAATGAAGAAACAAACTCATCTACATCTTGGATGGCCTGAGTTTGAGTACATTTTCAGCAAATATTCATTTTTGGGTGAACTGTTTCTTTAAATATCATTTGCTTATTTAAACTATTATTATTATTATTATTATTATTATTATTATTATTTATTTTGTTATTTTTCAAGCTGTCACCACTTTGGAAATATAAATATGCTGTTTTGTCATTGCATTTATTACACACTAAAATTAAATAAAAAAATAAATAAAACGGGAAAATAATGAAAACAAAGCAGTAGGCTGACTAACGTGTGCAGGCCATGGTGGGAGGGTCCTTGTTAGCTCTGTAGTAGCTCTTTTCACAGTGACACTGTGCCGAACCCTCAGTGTGGCTGGAACTGTGTGGGGGACACTTTGAACATTTGATGTTTCCTGCAAAGGCTTTGTAGAACCCAGGTCTGCAGGCTGAGGAGAAAACATAAGAGAAAAGTTAAGGCTGCGCAGTCCAGGATTTAATGATAATACAAATTTAACTGAACCTTTAAACTGAATTAGACGGCATGCCAATAATTTAATCAAATGAACAAATAAATATGTATATTATATAAATATAAAAATACTTTTATACAGCAAGGATGCATTACATTGATTAAACAGTGACAGTAAAGGTATTTATGTTTTATGTTATACAAATGAATTTATGTTTTATGTTATATATTTGATTTCTGTTTCAAATATATGCTGTTCTTTTAAATGTTCTATTCTACAATTAATCTTGAAAAAAAATCATGGTTTCTACATAAATATTAAGCAGTACAACATTCAATATGGTTAATAATCAATGTTTCTTGAGCAGAAAAACAGCATATTAAATTGATTTCTGAAGGATCATCTGACACTGAAGACTGAAGTAATAGCTTCTGAAAATAAGTAAATTAATGCAGCCGTTGTAAGCATAACTGACTTCTTTCAAAAACATCAACAGTCCACTTTGCAATCATGTTCACACAAGACTCATTCTAGCATTCCATATTTGACAAATGAAATACTTTTTATATTATTTAAATATCATATTGTTGGTCTAAATACACATGCAGTCAAACATCCCTAAAATGGCCAGTTAAAATATGGACACGTATAAGGCAGATAAAATGCAAGGTAATGTTTCAACTACCCCATCAGTCTCCATGGAACTGGTAGCTTAAAAGATACATTAAAAGCTTCTCCTTCTCCCTCTCTCAGTCTCTCTCTCTCTCTCCAGTGTGCAGCCTAACTCATTTGATCTTTCTATGCTCCAAACCATAGCAGCTCTTAAATACTCCCCGTCTTGGACTTAGACTCCACACTGAAAGACTCGCCAAGGCCCAGGAGAGCAGCCAGACGAGACTTGAGTTAAGTGGTACACACACAAGCACACATACTTACACACATCACAGATGTAAGATAGCAGATCTCTTTCTGTAGTGTTTCTTTCTCTCTCACGCACACACACACACACACACATACATACACACTAGTTTTACTCTTATTTAAATTTGCTCCTCAGAGGTTGGTAATTCTCTACAGCCACAACAGTACAGGCACTGATCTGTTTCTCTCTGACTCCAGACACCTTCTCCAGTAACAGGGCCATTCCCGGAGAGCTTCCCCAGCATCCTTTCGTCCTTATTGTGATGCAGAGAAACAAGTTCTGTATGCAGGACCTCTGTTAGCATCTTTTAAAATCGGTATAGGAGTTTGGCAGCTTTCCTAGCAAGGAAAACAACCCCAACGTATAAATCATTAATGAGGGTTCTTACTTTTATTTAGATCTGTTGTAAACAAAGTCAACTTCTATTTTATGGAAATGGAGAGCATATCGAAACACAAATATGACAAACAGTCAAACAAATGAGCCACCAGCCAGATCTGAGAAAAAATTATCTTTCATGATTTGCACATTAAAGTCAATGTGCAATGCGAATCACAACACATTTTATTTTCACAAATTAACATATTTTGAAGTGAAACAGGATACTGCATAGGAGAAAATGCAGAGTATGTCTTTTATATTTTGGGATTTTATTGGAAAAGTGTGCATTATATTCCAGATAGGACAAGGTGGTTAAAAATGTAAATTGGTTCATGACGTCAACTGAAAATGAACCATTTTTTAAACAAAGAGCTAGTAATTATATTTTGTTAAATAATTATTAATGAAACACACACACACGCACACACACACACACACAACAGTAAATTGAATCACAATTTTTATACCAGTTTATTTGTTCCCTAACAATGTCAGACAGTGGACTTTTTTTTAATTTATGTGTCATGTCCACCACTTCTCAGATTATATGATGTGTTTCTGTGATGAAAATGGCAGTTGTGGAAAATATATTTTTAAGGCTAATTTCACAACCAGCTTTTTACACACAATTAAAATATATTTTCACACTTTTTGCCTAATTTGACAAAATTACAGTGTGACTGGAGATGAATATATATATGTGTGTGTGTGTGTGTGTGAGTGTGTTGTTTTGCTGTTTGAAGTGTAAAGCACACTTGTGAAAAATAATATTATATATATATATATATATATATATATATATATATATATATATAGAGTTATAGTCATATGAATATACATATATACAGTATGACTTGATGACTGAAATGATGGTCAAACATTATAATATATACAAAAACAAAGATAAATGTTAAAGGCAGAAAAAAGTGAATGTGATAGTTAATGTTAATGTGTTAAACTTAATGTGTCCAAGTCAGTTTTAATGTAGAAAAAAAAAATCTGTTTTAATAAAAATTAACCCCTGTGATATAAGTGTCGAAAGTTGAAGAAACACCCTTTTATATCGATTTACTACTGTTGCTCCAACTGTTTCTCTTCTTAGTGCTACTGCTACTGCTACTGATATTATTAGCAGTATTACTCTTATTATGACTACTAACTAGAACCACAAGTATTGGTATTTTTACAAGACCCATGGCTGCTCTAATTAGGCCAACAGAAGAAGTAGATCTGCCTCAGTGAAGTGAAGACCAGTGACACCAAGAACGGTACGATTCTGCAGCATTTACCTTTCCCTAGAGGATCCACAGGCAGCCATGCTGCAGAACGGTTCAGCTCTCAATATCAAAGGATGCAAAGCACGATGAGGCAGCGCTGGAGGCAGGCGTGATAACAAAGTGGTCATTTGGATCTAGGAAATTAGTTGAATTTTCATTTGCTCACATTTGTAAAATGACTCCAGGTATGGCTCTTTACGAGTCTTGTAATTACACAGCGGGGAAAAAAAAGAACATTGATATGGGTGCACTGGGAAAATAAAACCAAAAAAAAAAAACATAAAAACAATACTACATTCACCTTTAATTAAGCTTAATTTTCAGTAGTTTATTTTGTTATTTTTTTTAATGATTTCTGTTTTTTGGAACAATTAAGACTCAATCATATACCACACATACTCCGCAGCGTTTCAGGTGCTAAAAGAGTCATTTCTGTTACTTTCACCTAAAAATCAGTTGCCGGATCTGGTGATGTCCACAATTCCGATGTGTACTTTCTAAAAAGCCAATTAAATACAACCCTCAGTGCCAGTTAATGGACTCCGTAATGGCTATGTCAATATTAATATATACTTTTTCCCCTCAGTCAGACATGTATTGAGTATCAGCTGACATACTGTCTGAGCAGGGGGTTAGAACAGCAGGGGAGATGAACAGGAGACAGTCATTTAGAAAATCGATCCAATTCCCTGCAACCTCGCTTTAAACTTTTCTAGAAAACGGCCGTGGCTCTGTGAACGAACCTGGGAAAAGTTGTTCGGCTGCCTGACCTCCAGCTGAGGTTTTTACTTAATGGTCATGTAGCGCATAACAACAACGGCGAGGAGGTTTAGGTGGTCCATTTGGAAGAAAGTGGAGTGTTTTATTATTCCGAGTGTGTCTGAATTGTTACGATGACAGACAGCGTAGAGAGTAAGTATCTCTCTCTCTCCCCCAGCAATCATCCCATCTCAACGGCACTTTGCTTGCCCCTGAGGACAAGACCTTTATGACAGGAGGACAAGAGAGTGTCTGTGTGGAAGATATAGTTCTAGAGATTCTTTCCCTCCCCTTCTCCCTTCGTCTTTTCTCTGTGTCTCTTTTCCTCTCTTTCGATGACAGTTTTGGGGCATTTTCCAGCGCCGCTGTGTTTGTGTGCATGAGGTGTAAGGCTAGGAGGAGACGGGAACTGAGAGAAAGAATTTTAGGAGAGAGCGAGGAAGAGATGTAGTCCCACAGGTAAACAATTTCATCGTTAGTACAGGGGACTGCTGGTAGAAAATGCAATTATGATTTCGTATGCGGTTTAAAATTCTCATTCGCCATTAATGAATGGACTCAGAGCTAGTGACCCAACGGTGCAGTGCAGTCTAGGCCTCATCATCTCTCTTCTCTCCCTCTCTTGCCTTTTCTTGGTCTCTTTATCGCTCTCCTTCATTCTCTCTCTTTGTCCCTCTATCCACCCACCTCCCTCTCTGTATCTCTCTACTCTCTGTTGACAGTCTATCTGGGTATGGAAATAGGCATTGGAGATTGCCTCCAGCAGTATGTCAGTCCCCAGAGAAGGAAATAGACCCATGATAGCACAATTACTTAATACGCTAAAAAGCTGGAAATAATAGCTTTGGTGTGTGAGGGAAAACAAATCGGGGAGCTTTGATAGGCAAAAAATCTGCAAAAAAACAAAATTAAATCAGGGGTCCATTTCGGGCAGCCCTGAATCCTGCTGATTCCACTAATTTGTGTTATTTTTTTTCACCCTCGGTATTTAGATATACAAATCCCATTGAAGGGTTTTCCTGAATGCAAATCATATCTGTCAGTTAGCAGTTGGCAAACAAAGGCTAGCGTGACAGATTGCTGGAATATACTCAGTGCTTCCTTACATGACAGTTTTACAAAATGCGGAGTATTAACAGTCATTATTCAATTTGGAAAGGCAGTCTATAGTGAAAATTGTAATATACTGCTAAATGTGTTCAGCGGCTTGCGAGTGCGTGCTGCCTTCCTCCGACTCGCCGCCTGGAGCGAATATTGAAAAAAGAATTATAAGCATTGAGTTTTAGGACAAATGATTCATTTTTAATCTCCGGTTGGTATTTAAACGTTATGAATGTGATTTTCTACCTCTGCACGAGGAGATGCATGTGTATTTTCTGCCTTATGCAAAGCAATAGGCCCTTATTGAGCGGAGGAGGAATTCTGCTTTCCATTTATTCGTGTCAATTTGATGTACATTTAACTGGCTGCTAATGCAGAACTTACCGTTTGGTCCGGTATGCAATGCTACAGTGGTATTGTGGAGTTGTTGATATTGCAATTTTGCTCTATGTGCCACTGAGGAGGACACTGAACCCTGGGCTGCTCCAGGGGGGCTATACCTGCAAATAGTTTATTCACTAACACTGGGTGGTATGGCGATGGCGTATATACTGTACGTACCATATCCACCTTATTTTTAACGTAAGAGTGGATGCAGCCATCTGTAACTTGAATGTACAAGTCTTTTGGTGTCCTTCGCTTCCAGTTATTTTAGCTGTACAAAAACAGTCCGCTGTGCTGTTTGCTATTGCAAACTGGTATCATATTATATTATCACCGTAATCCCACTGTTCTGTAAAAACACTGTTTTGTAGCGCAAATAGTTTTACCGTTTACTGCAGTTTGTTTTTCTTCTAGGTATTTACCTATAGTGGCTAATGAATTGCAAGAAAATCACAGAAAATAGCTTATTTCCGTGGTGCATAGCAGTGCAAATGGTATGTTTGCAGCACACAATAACCAAGCAGAAAACTACAGCAAAAAGTGTACACAGCTTAGTTGATTTTAATGGGAGCAAGTTAGTTTTGGCGTGTCGTGCCACAATGCATACAGGCGTCTTGTTTCTCATTGCATACAGGCAATCTATTTTGAGTAGCCTACTGTTTGTAATTTGAGTATTGTTACATGCTGTAAATATGTTTCTGTACTGATGCTCAAGTTATTCATCTGTTATGAATTATTGTGGTTCAATGATGTGTCAGGGATCAATCCATATATAGACATTTTATATAGATAACTACATTTTGTTTGGCAATATAGCCCCAGAAATAATCGCGATATTGACCTTTTAAGACAATTTTACACCACTGACTATATAATGATAATAGAAAACAGCGCTGACGCCAGTCGTGGGAAATCCCTTTAAACTTTGAAAGGATACTATTACAAACATATCGCTTTCATCTTCTGACAACTGATGGCAAACAGGATTTTTTTTTTTCAAATCCATATATCGTTAGATACGTCAATATAGTAATTATAGCGACAGGCCTATCCATATAAAATTAAATGAATTGTTTCCAAATAAATAAATAATGAGACATTGTTCAGTGGTTATGGGAAATATACAAGATTCCAAACTTTCACATTTTTTAGCAATTTCCACTACTTTTCAATCATTCCTGTTTGCTAGATTAGCAATTATTTTAGAGCAAAAAATGTACTCTGTATTCCTTATAGAACTTTGGTTGTTGTTTCCATTAATTTTCACAAATGTTAAAATTAACTATTAATTTATTTATTTTTTTTGTACTTGCACATTTCTTTAAAGTTTTGCATGTCAGTGGGAGTTATGTATATAACATATTTTGGGGTTGAATTTACAGAAACTACATTGTAATAGTTTACAAAAACAACTATAAATGACTATAGCATGATAGCTATACTGCTCTCACTGTATTTTTTTTGTCCTTTTTTTGACCACGAGTCCATTTTTTGCTGGGTGGAATTAAAGAATGGAAAAACTAAGTTAATGAATTCTTAATGAGGAGCACCGAGGCTGGAGGTGACACAGGGGAAAAATACTTCCCGCCCCCTGATTGATGATCATAAGAGAACACTCAAATAAACCAAACGAGTGATTTATTTCCTGCTGTGTAATACCTCAGCCACTGGCGTATACAGGAAACACATTTGACAGACACTGAGAGACAAAGCGTTGGACTACAGCCATCAGTTAAAGTTTAACTGCAAGGTCCTTAGGCTGCCGTGGTTGGACATTTGCTTTTTGACAGTTCAAGGAAGTGCTCTGGTCGTATGGTAGATCTAAGACAGCTTTAGGGGTCTGAAAGATGGATACACAGAAGCTATGGGAATATAAGTGGAATAAGCGTGTGCTTAAGTAGGCATGACAGGGTAAATGCCGACCTGCTGCAAAAACCTTACATTGCTTAGCAGTTGCTACCAATTACTTCAATTATCTTAGTGGCCAACCTCTGACCTAGACGTAAAAGTACTATTCCAGAGAGAAAACACACTACAGCACAAAGTTCACCCATCTGACAAGCTTAATGAACGTCTAACAGGCTTAACGAGCTCCTCCACACATACTGGCATTCAGTCGATTTGGATTCAATTATCATTTATGGTGCAATCAAATCTAAGCTTGTTTAGAGAGTATAATAGATTCCTAATTGAGAATGATAGTGTTATGCATTGGGCATTTGAACTTTATGCTGTAAAGACATTTAAAAGCACCATTAGGCATGTACAAATGAGTAAAATACAGCTAAAGCTGAATGTGTGAGCATCTTGATGTTTTGTCCTGAAACAATATTGTACTTTAACGTCAGCTTTTTGTGTCTGCTGAATCATACAGAAGCAATATTCTCAAGATTTGTTTTCATCCGCTTTTATTTACATGAAAAGAACACTGTGCAGAGTTGTTTGGGTGAACTTTGGAACAGTAGTAGTGGGCATCTTAACTGCAGATAGTGAGATGTATAACTGCTGTATCAATCAAAAAATTTCCCTGAGGTGCAAAAGTGCCTGAAAGGCCCCGGTTCTCTCTTTTCATGCCCTGTGCTCAGTGCACTTTACTGCAGGGCTCAATCCATAGAGAACGAGGAAAGAGATGGCATTTGAAATGAGTCCAAACAAATACCACTGCTGGATGATCTGCAAAGTTCTTTCTGTACAAAAGTGAATGAATAAATGAAACAGAAATGTCTACCTTTAAGCACTGAAAGCTCAAGATATTTCTAGATATTAAACTTGTAGTATGTTGACTGATTCAGTCTATAGTAGTTAGAAGCAAGAAAATGTTTTATAGTGCGATTACACTCGAAGGATATGCAATATTTACAATAAGTCTCTTGGCCGAAAGAGAAATTAGAATAGAGGTAAAGCCATGGACATACATACATACATACCTTCAAATGATAATGTGTGCACTAATAAACTAAGTGGTTTCCAAAAGAGTCCAAAAGTCTGAAATCAGCACTAATGCTACTTATTTAATGTACATTTTTCACTACAAACTATATTATTAGCGTAACAAATTGTATTACATCCAAAAATGCAGTATTTGTAATACAGTAGGTGGAAAATAGTTGGATGTCTTTCTACTTGAGCCGAGATATTGAAAGTACACATCCAATCGACACTTCACTATCCCATGAGGCCATGGAGTGAAGTTACGGTGCCGGCTTGGAGTTATACGGTGTTCTGCCTTTGTTTTACTGTCCATTAAAGTCTGCCGCATTTTAATTACGGTGTAGACAAACGAATTAGATAGATTGCGATCTACCAAACAGCTCCATATAACAAAGCACTGTAAAGACTAGATACCTTGGCAGCAATATGTAATCGTGAATAACCTTTAAATATTTTTTTTTCTTTTTGTAATGCAGATTATTCACCAGGCTGTCACTTCTAGTTGATGTCACTTCTAGCTGGACGCGTGTGGACTCGAATGCCGTAGCTAGCATGATAAATCATAAAATCAGTAGCCTACTAACAGTTCGCAATTAAATCCATATTCTACCTTTTCTTATAACCCGATAAAATCAATCCATGGCGATGAACGTCATCGGAGATGTTTAATTCACAAGCATTCTGAGCATTATTCCTGCTTGCTGGCGTTCACATCAATCCACAAATCGTTATTTGAGGTTAGGCTATTTCATACAAGTCAACATATAAGCAATATGCTATGTCTAGCATTTATTTATTTTTTTTAAGTTAATGAGCATAGCAAATAAATTGGTATCCACGGTATCCACTCATGTTTAACTTTTAGTCTGCTTGTTACGGTCAAAAAAAAACAAAAAAACATTTTTTTCATTTTTCCAGTGTCCTACCTATAATTAGTTTGGCTGGACAAGTAAAAAATTTAAAGTCATTTTTCTCAGTTTCACACTCTAGCGAGTTAAGGTCTTTTGCCTTTGTAGGGCAGAAATGTAGTATCTACTTAGAACGTATGTGATTTCAGACACACCAAAGGTCACATGACCATGTCAACATGACAGATGTAGTAGGTCTGAATTGTTTTCACACTTTGCACATGCATACTTAGAACTTACAGAGTATACTTTATAGTAATACAGAAATAATAATCACATCATCATCATCATCATTATTATTATAACATATTTCATAGATAAAATGTTTAATGACATAACATTACAAAATTAACAGAGTAAACATGTAAAATTAGGATACGATAATGATAATAATAAAATGCTAAGTTGCCAATAATAAAAGACACCAAATATGTTATTCAAAAAATTACTTAAAAAATATGATTTGATTAGACCTGTTGTAAAATGATGGAGAATCTTCAATATTACTTCTTCCTATTACATTGTAACTTTGTTGAGAATTATTGACATCCCCCATTTTTTTTCTTTATTTTCTAGGTTTAGGGTAACAAATGATCACAAAGTTCTACACATTGTTCCTTTGTCCTGTATTCCGAATGTTTCATGTTGGTTGTGCTGTGTTTTCCCTGAGTTTCTCTAATGTTTCTTCTGTGGATTTATTAAAAGACTGTTATTTGTACTTCTCCATTGTCATGTGTTCCTTACAGCACCAACACCACCCGTAACACACATCTTCTCCCCTCACATAAACATTTTTTGCTAATTTGATTTAGCGGCAACAGCGTGTATCACCATGGGAGTCCTCGTGGAGATTGAGGGCTTGGAGGGAAGACCCGCCCACACTCCCGATGCTGACGGTGAGCTGCAACTGGCCTCTGGGAGCTAATATGAGGAACTTTTGGGCATTTTTGAGGAGGATTTGATTGACTGGTTTGGAGAGGTTGTTCCCAGTTCCCCTGAACCTCCATTGTCTCCTGGGTCTCCACTGGTTCCGTCCAGCTCTCCTGTGTCTCCTAAGCTTCCTGTGACTCTTAAGCTCCCATCCAGCCTCCCTCTCTCGCCTCCTCTTATGCCAGCCAGTTTCTCAGCCCTGTCTCCGCTGGTTCCTGCCAGTCCCTCAACTCACCCTCAGTCAGCACCATCTGGGCGCTCTGATCTGCCTCGGGACTTCCAGTCTCCAGCTCCACCCAGGCGTGAGGATCCCCTGTCTCTGCCTCCAGCCTCTGAGTCCCGGACTCCACCTCGGTCCTCCAACATATCGGCTCCGCCTTGCTCCCTCGTCTCCATCATGGCCCATCATCCCACTGGCTCCACCGGGCTCCCTCGTCCCTCCGGCTCCGCCTTGGTCAGTCGTTGACCATCCGTCACCTCGGGACTCCACTCCTTTGGCTTTGCCTTGTCACTCCGTCCCTCTGGCTCTGTCAGGCTCCTCCTTCCTTCAGGATCCGGCTCTGCCGCGGTCTTCCGGGTACCTGTCTCCGCCTCGGTCGCCTGAGCCGTCAGCTCCGCCTTGGTCCTCCGGACCTTGGGTGTCGCCCTGGCTCTCCGTCTGCTCTGCTGCACCTGGGTCTCCAACTGCAGTGGCTCCGTCTCCATCGCTCGTCCCCAGGGTGTCGTCAAGGCCTTCTCCACCATGGCTCCTCCCTCCCTCGACTCCACTTTGGGGCCTCGTCCTGGCTGGCCTCTGGCTTAACACCTGGCTCCTCCTGCTCCTGGCTTCCCCTCGGTTCCTCCCACCTTCCACTCCCCCATGGACTACTTTATTTGCCCTGGACTCTGTTTTGTTTTGCCCCTTTTCTGCTCCTTTGCCCTCCTCCAAAGCCCCCACCCCTCCCCCCGCAGTTGGACAGTTTACGGCACGAGGTCGTGCCTTCCCGGGAGGGGGCGAACTGTCACGGTTATTGACTTTTGTTTGTGTTCCTGTCTTCGTTTTTCATTGACCTAGTTTTCCCCAGTCTGTTTGATTGTCATTCTGTTCACCTGTGTTGGTTTATCTCCGTTCATTTAAGCCATGTGTACTCCTGAGTTCCTTTGTCCTGTATTGTGAATGTCTCATGTTGGTTGTGCAGTGTTTTCCCTGAGTTTCTCTAGTGTTTCTTCTGTGGACTTCTTAAAAGACTGTTATTTGTAGTTCTCCATTGTCGTGTGCTCCTTACAGCACCAACACCACCCGTAACACACATCTTCTCCCCTCACATAAACATTTTTTGCTAATTTGATTTTGCCTTCAGCAATCAAACAAAATGTGTAGAACTTTCCTCTCCATTTAACATGTTTTACCACTTGAATCCATTCCACTGATTTTTTCCCCATAGATCAACACAAAAAATGTGAAAACAGTCAGCAGATTCCATCAGAGAAAAAGACTATAAAACAGAAAAAGTACCAATACTTTTATACAGTAATCAAACGGCTACTCCAGAATAAACCTATAATACAGAAGAGTAAATACTGCTGTACAATCATTTTATTGTTTCTCTACATTTTAGAGTGGTTTGTACTTAATTATTAAAGTTGTTTTCCATTATTTTGAAAAACAATTAAAAAAGTTTCTCTGTTATAGACCTATGCTGAAAAGAAAAAGTATACCCACTTAACACCAAATCCATATCCACAGTCTTTAAGTGCTTTTGTGAAGGGCCTGTGTGATGGATGGACATCAGCACACTGGTGTAAAAACAGTTTCAAGTGCCCACAGGCAGAACGTGTTATAAATACAGTCTTAATGACAATTATGATGTGGAACGAGAGACTGGAGGACTATTTAAAAATCAGCAGTGTGTGTAAATGACAGATAAGTGGATTCTGCCTGTGTAAAGGTATATGAAAAGAGAGCGAGGCAGAAAGAGAGATGGGAGAAGCCTCTAATCATTTCAAACGATGAGCTGCCACTCAAAGGAGAGTGAGGGGGTAATTGGGTGTCATTTGCAAGTAATTAAGTGATTGCTCATTAACAATTGTCTCTGGAAGTGAAGAGTGCACTGATTCAGCATTGTTTTTGTGAGTATGAAAGAGTGTTTTATATTCTTTTAAGCAAGATCTAAGAGCCCTCAGTCATACTAAATACCACAGATGAGGTACTGTAATAATGTGTTATGACTCTTTTTTAAAATCATAAAAGTCTCTTCAGGCAAAAGAGCATAAATGGCTCTTCATTTATAGTGGGCATGCCAAAAATGAATCAATCAAAAAATAAACTTCAAATATTTAATTATTTATTATTGATGATAATAAACCGACCATGGTGGCGTTATGCCTACTGAAAGTGTATCATCATATATTTATTTGGGCTGTTGATTAATTCAAATGGTTAATACAATTAATTACATGATTTGCTGCTCAATGAGTCAAATTAATTAATCACATATTTCAATATTTGCTAAGAAAACCCCACAAATGAAGGTAATTTGAGGGATTAGACTATTGTGGCAGACAAGAGAAGCACTGAATTATTATTATTATTATTATTCTGTCTTTAGTATTTCCAATTGTGTCTCACTGTTTTTGCACTGTCTTGTGTTAAAAATGCCACATGACAGAATTTACAGAACACGTAAAATTTTTAATTAATTAAAATTATATTTTTATTTCAACAATTGTTTACTAAATTAATGTTAAAGTAACACTCTCTCTCTCTCTCTCTCTCTCTCTCTCTCTCTCTCTTTGTGTGGTAAGATCACTAGGTACTATACACAGTCAACACAAAGCCATCCCAAATTCAAGGTGCTGATCCTGTCTCCACCTGTCTGGCTTGGTTTCCCAATAACCATCTCCGCCAAACCCTGGATGCATGCAGGCACACACAGGGATCATTTCAGCTCCCATCTGCTTTTAGTACTGTAATATAAATTTTAAATATTGCCTGTCCAGGAACAATAAGAAGAGAAAAATCGTCTATATTTACATAAACAGCATGGACCCATCACATTTCACAATCTAGATATATATTTTACAGAAAGCAATTTCATTTCTTCTGAGAACAACATTAAGGGAAAACTAATCCAAAACCCTCCATTTTTAGGTTGCACTTTTTCTAATTTAACAGTTTTAGAGGAAGGGAGGTGACACAGATGATAATCATTGCTTATTTTGAATATGGGCATGATGAAAGTTATGCATTTAGAAATTGCAATTCTTGTTTATCTTTCCAACTCAATCATGAGTTTGAAAGTCTGTGGCAATGGGTGTCGGCTGAAACGAAGCCCAGGCTTCCATCCAGTAAACAAAGAGAACATATGGGACGAGGGAAGAGCGGATCATTCATCAAGAAATCTTGATGTATTCTGAGGAATATCCATCATACCCTAAGGGCAAACTGCTGGAAAGAAATAAATGGAAAGAGAGAGGAAGGTTGCATTAGTCTGTTCCAAAGAGGAGATCTCCCAAGGACATACCTATGGACATCTCTTAATTTATAGATCTCTGATTCTGATGACAGGTGGATGAAAAAAAAGAGTAAAGAATGAAATGGATCTAGAAAAAAAGCTATGAGATTGTGTTTGGAATGTGACTTTCAGCACATGGGCATTTTTCTGAGATGAACAGTTCTGCCTATCAAAAGTGTTTGGAGTGCATTTATCCATTTGCATGACAGTGTAAGGTTGTCTTTGTCCATACATGAGTGAATGCATGTTTTTCATAAATATTACATAGTACTATGAAATACAGTTGTCACATCATACCAGTATTGACTGTAATATTAAAAAATAAAATAAAATACTGATCCAATTGTAATACTACACACAAGATAGTACTGTAAATATCCCAGGGCTCGTAACTCTGGTTGATTTGCAGTGTGTAGCTATTACTGCCACAAAAAAAAAAAATCATCATGTTGGAGAGATGACAGATGAAAGCGAGGCACTCTACCAACAGTTTTCTGGATTTTTTGGATTTTGTAAAATGGTAAAATCTGAAGGAAGTGTCGATCAACAGTAAATAACTTTTGTATGGTTTAGTAAGATTATGGTTACAAACTCTCTATCCACCTCCATGAACTCCATATTTTTCCATACATTTTATCTTTTATATTTACTTAATATCAACATGTATTGATATACATATACATGAGATATATGTCCAAAAATGTATTAAACATACATAAACGCTCCAGTTACTAAAGTAACCTCGGTTCCCTGAGATAAGGGAACGAGTGTTGTGTCGCTGACACTTATGGGGAAACTCCTGTTTACTCTGATACTGAAGACTGATTTGTTCATGTTCGTGTAACTGCACAAACCAATGGTGCTTCAGCCCGCCAAGAGTGGAGGAGATGACCGCTATATAAGTCGGCTCTGAGCGCCATTTTGTCAGAATCTTTAGACTGAAGTCACAGTCATCGATTCGCGTGCAGCCTTATAGCACGGCAGCCTATGCAACGCTTGTTCCCTTATCTAAAGGAACCAAGGTTACGTGGAGTATTCCCTTTTGCATGGTCTCTCCCACTGACGCTTATTGGGAATGCATCCAATAGTGCAGTGCTATAAGCAAGTGCAGAACGAAGCCGCTATGAGAGCCCAGCCCCGGAAGCACCCGTACTGAGGGCTCCTGTAAGCATGAGCCAATAATGAGAACCAAGCAGCTTAGGCTGAGGACTACATAACATAACCATCCCCTCTACAAAGGGAATTAGGTAGAATTAAGCATACAATATCAGTGCCTGCAAGGCAGGGATGTCTGAGTTATAAAATCTCGGTAGACGGAGTGGGCCCTCACACTCGTAGGACACTGCAACACTGCATGTAAGCGAGGTGTAAGCCAGGGCTATAGCATCGACAATCCAGCAAGATAGTCTCTGCATCATAACCGGCAGAACACTAGAGTGGCCTCCGAAGCATCTGAGTGCCTAAATGGGCCAGAGTGTTCAACATACACTCTAAGAGACCAAACCAGGCAGAGTGGATTAGGACCCTGCTCACCTTCTAAATTGGGGAGTGCTAGGAGGGTAATGACTTGTACTCTTAACGGAGTGGAGAGCACTTTTGGCACATAGCTGTGTCTCGGTTTGAGGATGACTCTATAGTCGTTAGGCCCAGACTCAAGAAAGAAAGCACTGACTGACAGTGCTTGCAGGTCACCCACTCGCTTGACCAACGCTAAAGCCAGAAGGAGGGCGGTTTTAAGCGACGGGGCTGCAAGTTGGCCGACTGGAGCGGCTAAAAGGGAGGACCTTGCAGGGCCCTGAGGACTATAGATAAGTCCCAAGTTGACACAGTATGAGGGCGAGGCGGATTCAATCTCCGAGCTCACCTCAGAAACTTAGCAACTAGGTCGTTTTCTGCTGACTGACTGGCCAGCTATGAGAGAATGATTCACCACGATGATACGGTTCCTGGTTCCGTGCTGCACACCAGTCAGAGTAGACTGACCATTGAAGGGCATAAAGACGTCTGGTAGACGGAGCTCTAGCCTCTAAAATGGTTTTAGTTACGCTCACAGGGAGCTGCAAAGGCTCCCGTCGAGGGGCCAAACATGAAGGCTCCACAGCTCTGGCTGGGGATACCAAATCATGTCCTTTGCTTGTGAGAGAAAAGGACATGATTGTGTTATTGGCCAAGGGGCTGCCGATAGCAGCTGGATCAACTCGGGGAACTACATCTGATTCTTCCAGAGTGGGACCACCAGGAGGACTGAGC